GCTTACGCCACTGAGCTATATACCTGGCCCCCACAGTGAAGTTATTAAATAAACCAAATCTACACTGTGACCATTGTTTAAAATGCCACATATAAACAAAAGATTTTTAAAAATTTAAATTATGGAGACAGCTCGGCGGTCTAAGTGCCTGCCTAGCAAGCACAAGGACTTGGGTTCAATCCCAGATACCACATGCCATGCCAGCCCTGAAATCAGGTGTGGTGGTGCGCACCTGGAATCCCAGTGCTGGGGAGGTTGAGACAGGAGGATCACTACAAGAGTCTGAGCTGCAAAGCAAGACCCTATACCAAATAAATAAATGATTTTTAAAAATTTTGTTTTGAAAAAAGATCAAAGTGTTAAAAGTCCTGAAAGTGAAATGTTATTTGGTTTCTTGCCCTATAGAAAGGTTTTGAGGGCCGGGGAGATAACTCAGTGGAATAAGTGCTTACCTGGAAAGTGCAAGGTCTGAGTTTGATCCCTCGTACCAATAAAACAAACAGAAAAGTTTTAAGGGATTCTTAATAAAAGGTCCGATGGGTCTCCTGTTAGACTGGCTATCAGATAAACATATTACTTTAAACCTCTGATTCTATTTGTATCCTCAAAGCTTTTCCAAAGTCACAGTGGATCCCAAATGTTACAACTCCCCAGGCAGCACACAGTCCCCCTTCCTTTAATCTGGCTATGGTTCTTTCTTAATGGTGGTTAATGCTTCAGGGGATGATGCAATGGTGTTTGGGGTAGAGTAACTTTTTTTTGTTTTATTGTACTTTTCAAATTATGATTAAAATAACTATTTTCACTTTTGCAACTTAAAGTTTCATAACTTTCCAAAAAAAAAAATATATAAACTTACATTTCTTTCCTGAATTCTTCCATTTTTTTATTTTCTACAGTCAAAAGTTCTTTGGATTTGTTCAGCTCTTCCACGTTTTTCAAGTTGTTCTCTTTGAGTGTGTCCAACTTAAAGACCAAAAGAAAAAAACTGATGAAGCAATTTCATTTTCCAACGGCATGGTTGGGTAGACAAATTATTCATACATATTTATTTTGTACCAGGAATTGAACTCGAACTCACGGCCTCATACTTGCCAGACAGGTGCTGTGCTGCTGAGCTAAATCCCCAGCCCCCAAATAATTATTTAAAAAATAGATGAGTCATCATCTGAAATAGAAATTACAAATGACAAATCATTTTTTTTTTGGGCTGACTCAGGCTGCCTTAAGGGCAGGTCTGGTGCAGCATGTGGAGCTGGGGATAGAACTGCGGTCCCCTGAGCCTCAGTTTGCCCAAGGAGGCACTTTGAATAACTGAGCTAACCTGCCAGCCCCAACAAATCTATTATAAACTGCAAATACCTCATGTTTAGTAAACTTCTTGCACACCTGGTCAAAATGTCAAACTAAATTGCTAAATTTAAATTTTTTTCTTTTGTCCTTTACATAATTATTAATGAGCATGCTATTCATATATGATCCACCTTTTATTTTTTATTATTTTTTAAATGTATTTGGTTGTTACAGGATCTCACTATGCAGCCCGAACTCATAGTGAACCTATTTTCAGCCTCCCCAGCATGGTGCAGCATGTGGTGCTGCCAGGACTCTGTGGCAGGCCCAGCCCACCCTGGGGACAGGGCTGGCACGGGATGTGGTGCCTGGGATTGAACCACAGTACTTGTGCTTGCCTCAGCTTGCCTAAGCAGGCACTTTAGTCCGCTGAGCTAGCTCACTGGCCGTATGATCCATCTTTTAGAAGCAAAAGTTACAGTGACATCAGCAAGGATTATTCTTTGTAATAAAATGAAATCCCCTTTCCTCACAGATTATCAATGTAGGGAACTTTCCCATGTTAGTACCAAATTTATACAGTCCTCATTACAAAAATATATTTATATGAACCAAAGTATTTGTAGATATGGAAAAATTTTAGGCACCAATTTGAACATTAATCTGAAGAAGATGCCATGCAGTGAGAGTAAAGGTGCCCCTCAAGTTAGGGCTTGAACCCTGCATGGGAAATCAGGTGTGTAATTGAGATGGACTGCTGACAGGCTCCAGAGGTGGCCAGATTCTGAGTGTGGGGTCCCCAACAAGGATGAGAGTTGTTTAGGACATAGGACATGCTTGTGGGGCTAGCATGACTCTTTGGACTTTTAGCCTTTGTTTCACACAGCCAAGAAAGGGAGTTTTTGTCTTTATGCCATGTCACACATCCCCAGTCAAGAATTCCAGAAAGTGGACTGGAGAGATGGCTCAGTGGTCTAAAGCACCTACTTAGAACAAGCTTAGCAAAGCATCAGGGACCGCGGTTCAATCCTCCAGCACCACATGCCAGCCAGCCCCGCCCCCTGGTGGGCTGAGCTGGCCACACACACACACCACACACACTCTCTCTCTAATAAATAAAACAATTAAAAAAAAAATTCCAGAAAGTGTCTTGCTAAATGCCACCACCCTCCTTTTAATGCCTTCTAATATTCCAGATGCACAGAAGAGAAACAAAGCATCAAAATATCAAAAAGTTCATTTAGCCTAGTATTTAGGCTACAATGGACCCACCAGGGGATACATTATGGGAGGACACACTTCCCCGACCCTATTGTCAAAGGTTAAATAAGTTCTTTACAATGCTGTCATTTACCCTACCTTCTAATTGTGCCTATCACCTGTAATTTCTGTACTGATTTTATACCTTTAGCTTGTCAGTTTAATAAGTTTTGTTTATCCTATAATTACCTCAAAATGCCCACATCTTTGGAGAACTCTGTCGGTGGCCTTGCACAGTGATGAGGCCGAGTCTCCACAGTAGACGTCCATTCAGCCATCCCCTCCCTCACTTTGCTCCCTTAGTGCCTCACCTACCTGTGATTTTACAAAGCATCTGAAGTGACAGACTTTCACACAATAACTCCAGTGAATCAGTCCGCAGGAGATTTAGGTTTCCAAGGAAATAAAGGTTGGTATGAGGTTGGAGGGTGTGAACAGGGGAATCAAAGAGGAGTACAAGAAGGAGAAATGCTACTACTGGACAAAAACCAAAATATCTTGATGCCACAAATTTGTCCTAGCTACAGAAGTGGCTAATTTGAGATGACACAGTGAACTAGGCTGAGAATGTAAACTGGAGAATGTAATTTAGTGGCTCCAAATTGGAAGAGAGTTAAAGTATGTAAGATGCAGGATATGAAAAGAAGGAAATTCCATCACTACCTATTCTCCCCAATGCCTTCACTACATAGTTACCTCAGCCACATTGTTAGGGTTTCCCCACTAGTTGACAAAAGTTGATTCTGTGCCAGGTGTGGTGACATCAACCCGTAATATCAGTATTTGAGAAGCTGAGGCAGAAGGATAACCCTAAGGTCAAGGCCAGCCTGGGTTACATAGGGAGACCCTATCAAAAAAAAATTGATTCTACTAAATAAGTAATGAAGTAATATGCTTTATTTAACAAATGGCTCTGGTATACGTGCAACTCTACTAACATGGACCAAAACTGTATAAGGTCACACTTTAAAACACTACACGATACTAAGTTAGTGACCAAATATTCCAGGACATTGCCGGTAAGCTGTTCTCTGTACAAAAAGCCATTTAAATCTAATTACTTCATTCTGCAGTTTTGCATTTGTTTGCTTCGTGTCCTCTAAGGAGGCCAGAGTTTCAGTCTTCTCTTTGGTCATCTGTTCCATTATCTGCATGGCATCTTCTGCAGTCTGAGCCTCCTAAACACAAGAAAATGCAGTGAGGAGGGGACAAGGCCTGCCTGAGGCCATCAGGCTAAGCTCAGGCTGTGCTGCTTGGGCACCACTTGGTCCATGTGGCTAAGAATGCCACATGGGTGAGTCAGCCACTAGGCCCACTGCTGAAGCCAACAAACAAAGCAGAAGATCTGTCCTGAGTATAACAGAGTCACAGACCTTTGCCCGGCCATTTTTCAGTAAGTCAACTGTTACACAATTCCATCTTTTCAGAGCTCACTAAACCTACATATTCTGATGACAGTTCCAAGTTACGCTGACAACTATGCTCTCACGATTCCAACTTCCACTGGACAGAAAATATTTGGTGATAAGAAGTAACATCTGAGGGAACAGAATTTCTCTTAATCACATTTACTGTTGTACGTTTAAAATACCACTTTTGGGGCTGGGGAGATGGCTCAGTAGAATAAGCACTTCCCTGGCAAGTGCAAGGGCCTGAGTTCAATTTCCTGGTTCCACAAAAAAACAAAAACAAAAAACCACCTACTTTCACTACTTCAAATCTGAAATTTTTAACATCACTTGAATTAAACTAGGAATTTTTCACATAAAAATTAAAATTATTTGGGCAATTGTAACATAAAATTAAAATGTTTCATGAGAAGCATTTAATGAAAGTCTAAGGGAAACTAAACTGAGTAATTACATAATTATGACTGTGAATAAAAAGATGCATATAGTGACAACCATAAAAAAATCTTAGGTACATAATTATAATTTAATTTGTTCTAGTAAAGTTTATGGGAATTTTGCATTAGGCTTACCCTATTCTTAGCCATGGAGATTTCAGTGGAATCTTCCAACTCCAAATGGACCCAATCAGACAGTTAAAAACCAAAGAGCACATACTATATTTCAATTCTACTATTGCTGGTAAGCCTTTAAGAACTACAGCTAACTCTCTCACAAAGTTTCTATATAAACTAATAATATAATCCTTTTTATTCACAGTCTGCAATGCTTTCCAAGTAGAGAGAGACTACTGCAATTAGACATTTAGTAAAGAATTGCCCTTTCTAACTGCAATGAACAGCTGAGACATATAAACAACTTATCTAGTGGAATGGATTCTTGTAAATGCAATGAAGAAAAATCACATAAACCACTAACATTAGTGCCCAGGGTTAGTAAGTAATCTGGGTGCTCAATACTTGAACCGCTCACTTTACCGTAAATGAATGAAGAGTCTCAAGCTCTCTAATTTTATGGGTAAGTTTGCTCTTGTCTTTCCTCAAAGTACGGTTTTCACTTTGAGATTCTAGGAGGTTGGCTGAAATGTGGCTGTTGGTTTTGGCCAGTTGGCTAATCTCTTTCTGGAGAATGAAGTAGCTTTCTTCCAGCTTTTCTTTCTCTTTCAAGAGCTCATCCCTTCTCAGCATCATTTCTCTTTTCTCGGCCAGAAGGTTCTTGTTGTCTTGCATGATCTTGGCTCTCTCGGCCATAGTCACCTCATGCTTCAGTTGGAGGTCATCCAGGATCTTGGTGAGGTAGCTGTGTAGTTCCTGCAGTTCCAACTTGGATTTGGACAAAGTGGCAAAATCATTTTTCAGGGTCTCTATATTGGCAGCAAGTTGAGCCGTTTCTGCACTCAAAAGTTCCTTTTCCTTAATAATCTCCACAACCTTTTGCTCAGACTTGGTCTTTTCTTGGATTAATACAAACTTCTCAGACTGGAGCTGCTCGCCACACACTCTCAGCCCCTCAACCTCCTGCTCCAGGAGCACCAGTCTCCCGTGGAGTTTACTGTTTTCATACAAGGATGACTCTTTTTCCTTTGCTCTGGCTTCCTTTTCTAGGACTAACGCCTGCTGCATTTCATGGATCTCCTCATTTAATTTCTGACACACTTCTTGTAGATTCAAGCCATCCCTCAGCAAGATGCTCTTTTCACAGCAGCAAGTCGTTAGCTCAGCATTCAAGTCCTCCTTTGCTTGCATCACAGTGGTGTGCTCTTTTTCAAGATTTTTTTTGGCATTTTGTGCCTCTTTCAGCATCAAAGAGAGGTCACACTTGCTGGCCGCTAGCTCTTCGTTTTCTTTTTTCTTCTCCTGAATCTCCTTCTTGAGAGCATCAACATTACCAAGTAGTTTCATGTTCTCATGTACAATCATTCTTCTGCTTGCAGCCTCTTGGTCATATTTCCTTTTAAGTTCTCCTACAGCTTTCATGGAATTTTCTCTCTCTGCAAGTAAATCTCCATTTTGTATTTCCAGTGCTGATTTTTCTTTTAAGAGCTTTTCTTGCTGCTTTTTAAGCTGTGTAATTTTCTGACAAGCCATCTCCTTCTCTGAATTTATGTGTGTGATCTTCTCATTCAAGCTTATCTCAATATGTGTGGTCTCTTGCAATTGCTTGTTAAGCTTTTCTGTGATGATCCTATTTTCACTCAAAAGTTCCTCCTTCTCGGCCAGGAGCCTCCTCTCACTGGCAGCCCAGGTCTCTTTCTCATGGAGGAGCTGAACGCACTCGGAATCTGTGATGGCCCGGCTGGCCTTGATTTCTTCCAGAAGCTGTGTGAGGCTCGTGTTGGCAGTCTGTAGCTGCCTGGCCTCCAGCTCCGCCTTCTTCAGCGCTTTGCTGACGCAGTCCAGCTGTGTGCGCAGCACCCCTGCTTCGGTGCCAAGCCGCTGCTTGACCTGCAGGGTAGCCTCCAGACTGACACTCAGCTTTTCCTGACCCTGCCGCAGCGAGTCCTTCTCAAGCTGCAAGTCTCTGTTGCTCTGGAGAAGGCCTTCTCTTTCTGCTGTCAGGGCCCGGCATGCACTGTCAAGGCCAGACTGCTTCTCGGCCGCTGCCACCTTGTCGGCTGTGAGTGCCTCAATCTCCTGGACCAAGGCCCTCTGATCTTTAACAAGTTCCTCGTAAGCACTCTGAAGCTTCTGAATGACATCATCCTTGTCTTTCACCAAGAGGAGGTTTTCAGCAGCAAGTGTCTTCACCTGATCCTCCATGTGGCCCTTTTCTGCCCGAGCCTTCTCAGCTTCCACTGCCAGAGTATCTTTGCAGAGCTGGATTTCATCTATGAATACCTGCATGCTTGCTTTGGAAGCCTGCAAAGAACTGTTTTCTACATGTATCTTCAAAAGCTCTTCCTGGGCAACATTGATTTCTTTAAGCAATTTTTCTCTCTCTGTAGCCAAAGCTTCTTTATCAAGCTGTTCCTGCTGGCACAGCTTTTCAGCAGCTTCCTTTTCTTCTAAGGCTTTCTCCTTCTCTAAATTAAGAGTTTTATTTACTGACCACAGTTTTTGCTGGTCTTGCTGAAGCAAAGTTATTTTGGCCTCCACTTCTACAAGCTTTGTTAAAAGTGAACCTTTTTCTACCTTTAAAGTATTTCCTTCCTGTGCAAGAAGCTGCTTCTCTGATTTCAGACCCCTCAGCTCTTCTGACATTAGTTCAATTTCTTTTTTGGCTGATGTTAACAAATAAGTTAGCGACTACAGAAACAAGATGGAAAGAATGGAAACAAAAATGAAATCGAGCACACAAATGCAAGCCCAAATAACTTAATGTAGCCTAAGTCTTAAAAGCTTAAAATTTCCTACAAATAAATTTCATAGAAAGTTTAAGCAAAAAACAAGGGGAAGACTAGATAAACAGAGCCTATAAAAGGGGTAGGCTCTATAAAGTGCTTATATATCTACTGGCATGTTATACCTCCAAATAGCATGTAGATCAAGCCCTGGAGCTTTCCAGAAGGTAAGGAGAGAAGCCCCAAGGGAAGCATGGTGGTGCTGGCCTACAGTATCAGCTGCTCAGGAGGCTGAGGTGGGAGAGGGCTGAGAGCTCAAGCCAACCGGGGCAATCCAGCAAAATCTCATCTCAAAAAACAAAACTCAATAGCTTTAACATAAGGCTGTAGCAAAGTTCTGCCCTGCCATTCCAATTATTTCTATCATAGAAAGATTCACAGAAGGACTTATTTACTTGTTTGTTTGTTGCAGGTTTTGAAACAGGGTCTATGCAGTCCAGGCTGGCCTCAAACTCACTGCGATCCTCCTGCTTCAGCCTCTCCAAGTGCTGGGATGACAGTCGTGCACCATTATACTGAGCTACATTTGATATTTATTAGGTCACGGTCTACTTAATAGGAAGCTTATTATTTTGGTTGGTTTGCTTTTTGTGGCATTGGGTTTTAAACCCAGGGACTTATGCATGCTAGGCAAGCACTCTACCATTTGGCTATAGAATTTTAGTGGAATGGTTTCAATTTCTTTGTATTAAACTCCTAAATATTTTCTAACATATTAAAAATAAAGACAAATGTTTATTTTTCTTTGAGCAATAAAGAGTTAAATAGTAGAACAGTTGAATTTCATTAAGTTTCTACAGCCAAATAATATAATGGGATACAGATACAACCCTAACACTAAAAAGTTCAATGTACGAAGTGATACTCTCTCCACTAATTAGACATGTCCTCCTCACTAGCCCTGAGCTTGGCTTCCTGCTCAGTCAGGTCAAAGCCTCCCTTGGGACATGGAAAAGCCTTGGTGTTCTCACTTCTAACCCTTTCTGTAAGAGCTCTGTTCATCCAGTGAGCTCCCTCCAAGCCCTGACTCATGCTTGCTAGCTGTGGCCTCGGCCTTTGGCTGTTCTGCAGCTTGTCTCTCCTAACCCTAGTGGCAAGGTGGCACAGCTCAGCCAAGGTTAGAGGAAAATGCTTTCTCACACCAGAGTTTACTACAAGCAGGCAGACAGAGCTTAGGCAACCAAAAGGCTTTGTGACAACCAGGCACAAGCAGCAAAAGGAGTGATAAGGACTACACAGGACACTCATGGAAGACTTGTAGCCATCACTGGGTCCCAAAAGGAAGAGCAGCTGGTACAAAACATTTGAAGCCACAGGAAATACAATTGACCACCCTGTTGAGAAGGCAGAAGCTAGTGCTTGAGAAGGATAACTCAACACGTCCCGTCTGCTACTGCTTCCTAAGCACCCTGAAGCCTCCATGCTGAACTCAAGCGAGCCACAACACAGCTGCGCAGCTCTGACAGAACGTACTTTGGCTTTGTTGGCCTGTATCTGCAGTTCTTCCAGCTCCTGCATCAAGCCTCTGTTTTCCTCTTGAACAGCTTTGAGCTTCTCCTCTGTGTCCAACAGCGTCTTCTGCAGGTTCTGCAGGATTTCTTCCTGCTTCGTGTTTGTCTCAGAACTCACTTTTTCATACCTGGCTTTCAGATCCTGACACCGGCTGTGGCTCATTTCCATCTCCTTTTCCTGCGAAACCCCAAGGAAAGGCGTCAGTTATCTGGCCATCTATGCCCTCTCTCTCTGCCCTCCTTGCCAGGAAACAGTCTCATTTACTCTTTCCTTACCAGGTTCAATACTTTTTCCTCCAGCACTTTCTTTTCTTCCTCGTGCTTTCTGGCTGCTTCCTGTTGGCTCTGCTCAGCTTTAAGAGTTATCTCCCCAATACTTCTCTGCAGAGCACTTGCATTTTCATTAGCCTTTGTAAGTTGTGACTGCAATTCTTCTACACATCTACAAGTTTCAATACAAGGTATCAGATTTTTCATAGTAATGTTTTAAATTTAAGAATTATATGACAAACATTAACAATTATACAAATTATTACAAAGTTTGAGTAATCAATGACATAAGATAGACAAATAAAAAAATTACTTCCCTGAGGAACAATTTTAACAACTGGGATCACTGTAAATACACTGTTTAGAATAACTAATACTATAATTGTGAAGATTTTATGTTAATAGTTTAATTAAAAGGTGAGTGAGGCCAGGTGTGATGCTGCACACTTATAATCCCAGTACTCTGGGAAGCTGGGGCAGGAGGATCATTGCAAGTTCGAGATCAGCCTGGTCTACAAAGTGAGTTCAAGAGCAGCCTAAAGTGCATAGTGAGACTCTGTCTCAAAAAGACCAAAAAAGGGGCTGGAGAGATGGCTCAGTGGTCTAAAGCACCTACTTGAATCAAGCTTGGTGAAGCACAGGGACCACGGTTCGATCCCCAGCACCACATGCCAGCCAGCCCCGCCCCCTGGTGGGCTGAGCTGGCCACACACACACACACACA